TGAGCAGGGATATTACATATAACATCTATATGTACTGAGCAGGGATATTACATATAACATCTATATGTTCTGAGCAGGGATATTACATATAACATCAATATGCTCTGAGCAGGGATATTACATATAACATCTATATGTTCTGAGCAGGGATATTACATATAACATCAATATGCTCTCTACTCCGTTAAAAGATTAACATATAACATCAATATGTTCTGTAAAGGGTTAACACATAACATTAATATGTTCTGTACTCGGTTAAAAGGTTAACATATAACATCAACATGTTCTGAACAGGGTTAACAGTTAACATATAACATCAATATGTTCTGTACAGGGTTAACACATAACATTAATATGTTCTGTACTCGGTTAACAGATTAACATATAACATCAACATGTTCTGAACAGGGTTAACAGATTAACATATAACATTAATATGTTCTGTACAGGGTTAACAGATTAACATATAACATCAATATGTTCTCTACAGGGTTAACAGATTAACATATAACATCAACATGTTCTCTACTGAGTTAAAAGATTAACATATAACATCAATATGTTCTGTACAGGGTTAACACATAACATTAATATGTTCTCTACTCGGTTAAAAGGTTAACATATAACATCAATATGTTCTGTACAGGGTTAACAGATTAACATATAACATCAATATGTTCTGAACAGGGTTAACAGATTAACATATAACATCAATATGTTCTGTACTGAGTTAACATATAACATAAATATGTTCTGTACAGGGTTAACAGATTAACATAACATCAATATGTTCTCTACGGGGTTAACAGATTAACATATAACATCAATATGTTCTGTACTGGGTTAACAGATTAACATATAACATCAATATGTTCTGTACAGGGTTAACACATTGCCTGATTTACATTTCACATCTTTTTCTAGTTTCAAGACATTCTGTCCCAAAGCTTTTATGAAGCTAATAAAACTGGAACTTCAAACTTCAACATTCCTTAACTTAATTGTTTGAAATAAAAAAAAAAATGTTTTATTCAAATTTAACATCCAGAATTTAATGTTTTTGTTTAAAAGCTAGAATTTGCCTTTCCTCTTAAATCTAATATATATAATGAAATTTCATTTCAACTGTTTATTATAAAATAAAACCTTAAATGATATGTTTAGAAAATACAATAAAATTTCTGACGGTATATAAAATGTTCATCTTTTAATACCCTCACAATACATTTCAATTTGCAATATATTTGGAATTAAATATGGCTGGCATTCCACACAATTAAAATTTAAAGAAAACCTTGTGAAAATTAAATAACTGTTAAAGTCACCTTTATTCAAAAATGATTAATTATTCTCAAATATCAAAAAGCAGGTGATAAAATAATATTCATGGCTCTACGTCCACATAGATTTTTAATTTTCATTGAATACAGACAGAACATTTAAATTGAATCTCATTAACTTGTTTATAGTTAAGTGCTTTATTATGAAGCAACTTGTTTCAAAGATAAGAGAGTCAGAACCTTACTTTACTTCAAAATGAAGTTCAGACAAACGTTCAAATGTCAGTTAATCTAAATTTAACTTTTGATTGGCAAAACTAGTTTACAGTAATAAAAGCCATACCCTTGTCCTACTTGTCCTATTTGATCAGTTTCTACAAAAGCTTGTAATATCTTTTTATGGATTTCTGAATTTACTGATATCCCACTAACTCAACAGGGTTAATAATCCCACTGACCAATGGTCAACACTACTGCAATCCAACTGACCTAAGGATTGGTTGATTGGTGTTTAATGCCACTTTCAGCACTATTAGCTATTTCATGGCGGTCTTTTAAACAAAGGTTTCTAAATGATAAAGTTGAAGTTGTCTCTTCAATGGTTTTATAAACACCATCATGATTTGGTTGACTATTATCCACTTGTCATAGCCACAATCCCTTTCTCTTCAATGACAATCTTGAACTTGGCTTTTTACAAAATTTTAACTTGCTATGATTAAGACAACGGGTACCACTTGTGTAGCATAATCTTCTCTCCTTTACTTTTAACATATTAATTAATCTTTATCAAAAGCAAAATCCAATGGTGCCTTCTCCCAATTTGTTTTTACCTTATCCCATTCCCCTCTTACTAGAACCATACCAGACACTAACCTAGGGCCCTAGCAACCTGTTGTTCAGTAACTAGTTTTGGTTCACCAATCCCCATCCCATTAACCCAAATAATTCAGTTGTTATATTCCGCTGTTCTACGATTGCTACATTCCCGTTGGAGAAAATTGAACACAAAGAGGGATTGAATTATTACCATCCCATCTAACATTAAGTGTACTGCATATTGACCTTCTAACCTGTTGTTATGGGTAATTAGATACCTATTCACCTATCTGTAAGGTTACCAGTAATCAGACTCTAGATTAACTAGATATTTTAATCCTGATAATCAAAGGTTCTGACATGTCTGTCAAAATTAATAATATTAGCCCTTTAAATGGGAACAGAGGCATTCACTGTGTATTGGAACTATCATACAAGTGGGAGGTTTAGCTAGCTATGAAACCAGGTTTAACTCACCATTTTCTTTTGGAAAATGCCTGTACCAATTTCGGACTATGAGATGTTTTCCATTCCTTTCAATGGCTAATGTTTGATTTTGTCAGTTTTTATGGACTTCCCCTTTTGAATTTACCTTGGAGTTCAGTATTTTTTTCTGATTTTTTTGCACAGAAAATAGGGAACTTTTATAAAGAATTTTTTTTAAGCAATAATTCAACTTGTTTTTTTTCAAATTTAGACCTGGAAGATACTTAATGATTAATTTTACTTTGATAATTTTTTAGTAAATTTATGACATAGACATATTATTTTACTATTCTGATTATGGTTCCCTGATTAGAGTACGTAGTACAATCATTCATAACTAAGTAAACAAAACATGTAATATGATTTAAAATCAATTTTATTCAATGATTTTCAATTTTTCAGTCATGGGTAAAAAATTACAATATATTTTCAATAAAACTAACAAGCACTTCATAGAAACTGATGGATGTGTTGTAGTAAATATGACATAAATTCTTTCTATGTGCATTTAAATTTTTTGTATTGAAATAAAATAGTCAATAAAACTTTTGTGTATACTTAAAATATACAAATATCTCTCAACCTAAAATGTTTTTACCAACATATGTTCTAGAAAAAAAGTTAGAACTATGGCTGCAAGAGAATTACAAGATCCATTAATGTTTGCCCAAGGTCAAGAAGAAAGAAACGGATCACATAGAAGACTGAAATCTCCATCAACAGTACATATATCTACAGCAGGTTATTGTATTGGTTCAATTAACCAAAAATGTATCTGCATTTTGTAATATTCATAAATTGGTTCTGGATTAATCTTTTTTTTTTAAACACAATGACCAATCTTTTTAAAATGTAAGGACAGTCTGAATACCTCTACTCTTTTTTCAATGATAGATTCTATTCAACTTAATGATACTAACATTCAAATCTTTTCTATAATTCACTTAAACAATTAGTTGCAAATACAAAGTATTGTCAAACAGGGAGTGGCCTCCATTTTCAGATCTGGAAATTGCTTACAAGGTACAACTCAACATGATTACAGTTTGTTGTGGGAATATAATAAAAAGTTTAAATACCAATCATCTGTCAACTAGGAATAGGCACTACACCATTTTTATAGTTGTTTTTTTAAAAGTGTTTTATTTGTTCTGATACTGTTGGGTATACTCTGTTATCAACATGTGTAAGATCAATGTGACGTTTAATTAAAATGTTTCTAATCAAAATATTTATAAATTGTAAGTGTTTGTTTCCAATGACCCGACCTTGTTGGCAGGCAATATTACAAATAATCACTTCAAATTCATTACCGACAAACGAAACATATATATTCAACAATGTGTTGTCAAAATCGCTGAAACAACAAAACTTTTAATCACATTAGCCAAGATTAAAATGTCCATTAAATTCTCCAGATAAAAATAAATACTCCAAATTAAACAGGTAAAAGGATAAAATAACTCATCTGAAGTAGGACCTTTGTAAATATCTTAATGTCATTCTTCATACTTATTTTCTTATCTCTTTTTACTCTTTACATTTTTTGTTGATAAAATTTAAAACAGCAAAATAATTGCAATAAAACTTGTATTCATATCTCCCATGTGTGCCTCATTTCATGAAGCACCAAATATATAAATCATATCAAGAAAGATAACTCTGTAATAAATATATCAACTATCAAACACCACAAAACTCTTCAATCCAAATGGTGTAGCTTGAACACAATTTAAAGATAAAGTTTACAGATACAGGAATAAAAGAACATGACTATATTTGTATAATAACCTTAAATTACCTGTATAACATGTGTATAACATATACTGGTAAGATGAAGATAGTTGTTTGCCTTCAGATTTAATTCTGTAATTAGTGTAGATCTACTTAACATCAATCATTTTTAGACCTAATTTCTTTAAATTCACATTAATTGAACTGCCAAAGTATTTTTGAATACAGTCCCATTTCAAAGAGTCCTGTAAAAATCCCTTTTACATCCCAAATCAATGGTAAATCTCATCTAGACATCCACAACCTATGTTGTGACATTCTGTAGTATATAGTGGAGGGGGCGGGGAGAAAAATCCCTAATCAATGGTAAATCTCATCTAGACATCTACAACCTATGTATACGTAGTGTTAAGACATTCTGTAGTATATAGTGGAGGGGGGGGGGGGGAAATCCCTAATCAATGGTAAATCTTATCTAGACATCCACAACCTATGTATACGTAGTGTTAAGACATTCTGTAGTATATAGTGGAGGGGTGGAGAAAAAACAATTTTATATGCTCTTATTAGAGTCAAAGAAATTTGATTGGGAAAGAATGGGGGTCTGTCAGAAGGGATATAAACGGACACATTTATCAAATAGTTGTTGTTTAATGGCAGATAAAATGATGGACTTACTCGTCTGATTTCTCTGAGTGGATAGATGCCCTTGATGATGATCCAACTTTATAATCATGTGGTAACGTTGCTCTGGTTTGATTATTAACACCATCGTAACGTTTGATCGAATGATTGACAGTCATCGCACTATTGTTTGTTCCAGAAAATGTTTGAGATTTTGGTATATTTCTATATCCATCAATAAAGTTTCTTTCTTCCATAATGGTGTTACGTGTATGTCCCCCAACCGTCCGCCGAGCAAAACCTTTACTTGATGATGACCTGTAAATACATATTCATCTAATTGGTACCTTTTTTATATTAAATTGTTAATTTGTATGAGATGTCAAACTGAAAGCACAAGAGGTTGTGGTTGAAGTCTTATAAATCAATTGTAATCAGTTTTATCCAGTTTAAGAATTACACTTTCAATTAAAAATTATTAATACATTATTTTGTATTTTCTTTCTTACCTATGTACCATTTGTACAATATCAAACAAATCTAAGGAAAGGTGTCTATATGGCTTTCTGGTTGTTGTTTACTGTCAGATTGCTGCATCATTGATGAATTCCCAGTCTGTATTTTTTATGACTGTTTGAGTTTGAAGATATTACTACAGGGTTGTACAATCTTTGAAATTAATCTTTTTTTGCCAAATGATGCAAATTTGTGAAGATTTCTATATTTAAGTGATATTGTTGAATTCATTAAAAGACAAAGATTTTAATATTGTTTTTTAAACCTATCTTCCTAAACTGGTCTAAATTTAAAGCTGATCTTTCAGGCAAAATTCTTTAAAAGGTAGAAGTACCATAATTTCACATTATGAATTTACAATACAAGCCATATATTTTATTATAAATTGATAGATAACTAAAAATATTACACTTATGTGATATACAGCTCAGGTGACTTCACCTGAACTTTACCCGTCAGCCAGTTTTCACATTATTTTTTCCATAAAGCTCTTAGTGTAAAGTAGAATTTCCCATTTGCAAGAAAATAAATTAATATGCATATGGTTTTTTATGTACTTATGAATCTAAGTAGTCATTATGAAGACTTGATTATCACTTCAAGTGGTCAATAGTTTACCTCTAAGGATACTTACAAATATAAGCCAAGTTGTAAAGTAATATATGAGTAATAAGCCAGGAGAAGTAAAATGTTTATAAGGATTATTTTTTTGGAAAGCATTCAATATCTATGTTTCAGAATCTACAGGATTGTAGACAAACATTTCAATATTCCTACAAAAAGCACAAGCATATAATTGGTCAAATTTCCCCTGTAAACAACCACTTTGTCTTGATAATCATAATTAAACTCAGAATAAATCTTCTTCCTTTGATCAGGAGCATATAATTGAAGAAAGTTATTAGTTAGTATAAGTGACTTAGGTTTCTAGTTAGTAAAAGAACTACTGTATGTTAAAGTATTTGTTAGTTAAAGAAAACAAAAGTAGCAAATCAAAATAACCAGGCATCTATCTTTATAATCAGATATAAATCAAATATACTATTTACAAAAAATCATTTCTCAAAATGTATTTCCAATTGTACAAGTTTTAAGATGGAATGACAAAAAGAAGGAAAAGCTGTATAACAGTACATGGCAAATAAAATTAAAATATCCTGAAATGCTGATGCATGCAATGAAAACATAGTTCTAAGCCTCAACATTTAAAGCATTTAGGACCAAACTCAAAATGTTATTATAAAAGAAAATTAAATATTTTTTTCTATAATCTACTCATTACTTTTTTTCTTCTAGTCATAAATAATATCTTCTAGAATCTCAAATACTTTCAACTGTAATATTAAAATTGGTTTTATTCAAAAACATTTATTAAATCTATAGTTGTTCTAGAAGAAATATTTACCAAACCAATTTATGACTGACCCCGTATTATTTTTCTTTAACTTGACCGAAGAAAAGACATAAATATCTATACTATAGACCAGCATGCAACATAGCTACACTACACGGAAAGGCACGAGGGAGAAATGTTCTCACCTGCTGAAAGTTCTATCAAGTTTTGCTCGACGTTTATTCTCTTCCAAGGTCTGGTATTCGGTTCTACCACTGTAAATTAGATTATCTCCCTTATCAGAATATCCTGACAGATGCCTGGTCCAAGCATACACATTTGTTTTAGTAATGTGGGTACCAGTTTAAATAGAATGGACAATGACTGAGTCCTCTGTCTCCCTCTTTTCTAGGTTTTTTTATCCTTTTACCCTGTCCCCAAATAAAGACTGAATCTTTGAACAAATTTATTCTTAAATCATTTTAATTTCTTCTAATGAAGTAATTTTTGTGTTGTGTGGTGGTGTTTTAGAACACTCTTTCTACATTTATATATATTTCATTGATGAAGAAAACCATATTTACTACAAATCTTTGGTGATTGACATACAAGTCAAAAGACAAAAGTCATTATTTAGTAAGTGGAAGTAGTGTGATTTGTACAGATATATTGATCACACTGGGAGAACAGAGGCCACACTTTAATTTATATTATTGTCCATTCTTTTACAGTATCAGAAAAACCTTATTCATTCATTACAGAGCATTACAATCAAAAACATTCTACATATTGAATTTATCAGATGCACACCCAACTTTTTAATTAGAGCATTACAAATCTGAATAAAGTTTACTAGTATATATGTTTATATAGAGTGAAATTTTTAAATATACAGCACAAGACTAACTTACTCCTAATAATAGAAGATTTTTTATTAAAGGTCTCATAAAATCAAATCAAAATTAAAAGAATAAGGTTTTTTTGACTTGAACAAACTTGCAGATTAAGCTAAATTCCTAGCAAGAATAGATGATTGTTGTCTAAAAACTACAAACTACAGATAGAGTAAAATAGATATTAGCAGAATATAGATGTCAAATGGAATTTATCTAATCATTTAAAAGATAAATATTCTTATAATATCTCCAAAGACAACACAATTAGGATCAGAGCACAGATGACATTTACCATAGCAACCAGAGGCAATCCAAAAATCATTTATTATGCAATTATAAAATGTACCATGCAATCCTTTGTTTTCTATGTTCCCCCCTCTTTCAATGTGGACCAGTATAGTTTAACATACTTTTGCATTTTCTTGCTAGAAATTTACCAAATATTTGCATAATTACTACTTTTATTAGTCACGCCTTGAACCAGTATATACTATTGTCAACCATGCATAGAATGTCTACTATAATAACAATTGTGTCACCATTATATATATATATGTTGTTTTTTGAATATTTTACTGAACTCTTTCCTCATTTAATAATCAACATATCTTATAATTTACATCTTGATTTTATTTTAGTTCTTTTGTAATTATTTATTATTATTGGTAGTTTTTGGTTTTTTTTTTAATTTCCGTTTTTTTTTTTTCTTTTTTGTGTGTTTCTTTTTTCTATGTTTTCCTTTACATGTCACTACATGTATCCTGCACAAGTACCAAAAAATAGTGGAAAATTCTTACAAGAAAGTTAAATTAGACAGTTGATCACTGTGTTGAGAGCTTGGTTACCAGGTCCAACTTTTGCTGTTAATATTAGTAAATAAACAAAAATCCACAGCACATCAAAGGGAGGCAAATCTACTTACCTATATCGAAATTTTGATCCTAACGAAAATACTTTCTTGGAGGGAGGATTGGGAACATACAAACGAAAAAATGTATGATGTTCTACACATGACTTCCATAAATTTTTACATGACCTATAACTGTTCATATTGAAACCTATTAAATTTTCCACTGAATCATTCTGAAATAAAAAAGAAAGTCATCTTTTTAATATTTCTCTATATGTTAACAATAAAATTATGTATTATTCACAAATTGATTAGTGCTAAATAACATAGATTAAAGAATGTGGATTGTATTGCAGTACAAAAATACATTGACACTTAAAATCTCATAAGAATTAAAGAAATAAAATGAAACAAGATTGCTATATTGTGACTGTGTAAGCTGAATTCAGCAAAGGACTATAGTCACTATAGTACCAAGTATGAAGCTCTCAGTTTTATTTACAAGAGATCATTGTGTAATTTATAATAATTAAAACAACTAGAAAAGGGTGGAGTTTTTATGTTGTTTCAAAATTTATGTCTCAAATCTTCTAATTTGATTTTATCAATTTTAAATTACAGAAAGTGTTGTTGAATTGCATTAAAAGATTATACCACTTCACAACACTCTTCCTTTATTACTTACAACTTCTCTTCGTAGCTGAATGAAAAACTGTTTTCTTTTAAATGAAATTTTAACTATCTTTGCCCTGAAAAAAATATCATTCTAAAATTAATAAAATGAAGTATAAAATTAGAAAAACATGCTAAAACAAGGAAAAAATAATTATGATATGAATTACATTTTACTTGTACACATTTTTTTTTTCTGTTTTTGTGAAAAATACTACCTTCAAAACTAAAGAGAACATTTCTTACTATTCTTAATTTGCTTCTCTTTCTCTATTGTGTAAAACATAAATAATTAATGGTGACGATTGTGTAATAGAACTACAAATATAAAATTCATGCAAAAAGAGATATAAACCAACAGAGTTGTCTTTCCTTCTTTACAATAGTTGACATTCTACTTTTGTGAGTTGTGATTTTAATATCTTGTCAAAATTTATTTTCTATTGTCCTTACTTTGCAGATTTATTTATTCCCTCTTTTCACATCAACTAAAAATTTTCATTATGTTGAATAATAAAATTCAAGGCATACATGCATAAAATCCCAAAATCATGCACTAGACTTAATCATTGGATTAAATATTCATATTGCCCTTTTCACTGATTATTCTCATGATAATAAAATTCAAGGCATACATGCATAAAATCCCAAAATCATGCACTAGACTTAATCATTGGATTAAATATTCATATTGCCCTTTTCACTGATTATTCTCATGTACTCAAATATTAACTAGACATCATAGAGATGGGAGCCATCTCTGTGGGCCCCGCTGTAAATAACAGTTGTCAACTGAAACCAAAGTTTTTGACCTTGAACTATGACCTAGGAAGTTGTACAAACATTATGACACATCCTCTTGTGTTGGTTAATATACATGTCAAGTATAAAGTATGAAATTATAACGGTTCTCTAGATATAGAGCGGACACAATTTGTAAGGGACGGACGGACGGACGGACGGACGGACCGACGGACGGACAGACAGACTGATAACTATAGGGCGACCCGCCACTAGGCGGGGCCTTAATAACAGATGTTTGTTCTTGCTTAAGTTTATGGTACCAACCTTTAAACTGATCTTCTGTACTTTGTTTTTGTGTTTTTGTTAGCTGTTTTTGTGCTTTGTATCGATCTGATGAGTTCAGCTTGTTTCAACTCATGACATTGTTTGTTCTTATATTTTGCTATTATACCACTGTCCCAGGTTCGGGGAGGGTTTTGCACAAGCAAACATGTTTAACCCCTCCACATTCTGTATGTGCCTTTCCCAAGTCAGTAGCCTGTAATTCAGTGGTTGTCGCTTTTTTGCTGTATATCATATTTGTTTTTCTTTCATTGTTTTGTTCATAATTCAGGCTGTTAGTTTTCTTGTTCAAAATGTTTTACATTTGTCATTTCATGGGCCTTTATAGCTCACTATACAGTATGGGTTTTGCTCATTACTGAAGGTCATACAGTGACCTATAGTTGCTAACTTCTATGTCATTGGTCTCTGGTGGAGAGTTGGAACCTAACTATATGATCAACCAATCAAACAGAGGTGACACCTAGCTGTACTTACCATGGGAATGTGTTGATTTTAACATTGTTCTGAAAAACAACCAATCCGACAGAGGTGACACCTAGCTGTATATCAACACTGCTCTGATCCTGTAATATACAGAAATAGAATTATCTTTTCAATTATCATCAACAGAGAGATATTTTTCCTACAATTTTTATCAATGATTACCAATGTTAAATATGTTACTTTATTGTAGCCTATACACAAACATTTTTATTCTCAGTTTTCAACACAGTCAAGCTTTGCACAAAAAAAAAGCAACAATGACAAAAATTTAAAAAAAACCACTTTGGCTTTAAAAAAAACTTTAAAACACCACTGGAAGTATAAAGGAAATATAAGAAAATGCTAAAGAGGGTCGACAGAAATAAATGTTACCCATAGATAACCATATTTCTTTACTCTGTACATGAAAGTATTGTTTCATCTGGTTATAATCTTTGGTTTGAGTTCTATAAATTTTACCAATTCACCAAGTTTCAATTAAACCATATACATTAAATATTCCATTTTAAATAAGCTAACTTTGAGTAAAATAATAATCCAACTACATTGGTATGTTAGATAAACAAACCTTTTTATATATTAATTTATTATATACACATTATATATTATGATGTCCATGCTAATATTATCTCTAATTTTTCTTACTTCATGGCTCTTGCCTTATCAGAATTAAACTGATTTATGGTATCCATAAGTGTGCTTTTAAGGAATAGGTTCTGTTGGGGCCTTTTTTGGCCCCAAATATTGAGTCCATTATTTTATTTTTTTAAGATAAAAAGTGTTTTAAGCTGATGTATGTGTGAGAAAGTGAAGAGGGATGATTTTTGTCGATTCTTTCTTACTAAGCTTTGTCAGTTACATTCAATTCAGTTGAGAATAGAGATTTTTGTGAAAATTGACAAAATCTTCTGGATTTCATACACAATTAGGCCTAGGAAACATAAAAGTGCAGGGTTTGACAAACTAAATATTCATAATTCATTTGTTCTAACAACACAATGTGAAAATAAACAAAATTACCTATTTTCTATCTAGTCATCGTAAAAGCTATGATACTTTGTGAAAATGGCAATTAAATCCTAATTTGAAAATTAAAACTAGAAATTTGGGCCATATCGAGACCTTACCAAACATACACTTTTTGACATGTTGCTATTTTATAAGATTTTACATTTTGATAACACCCTTTGGTCTTAATGGGGGGAGGGGGTAGTTGCCTCATTGGCAATCTTACCACATCTCCTTATTCTATATCAAATATTGTTACTCATGTTAAAATTCCATAACAAACTTATGACTGCCATCCATTATTTTGAACATTCCCTGTTTTACCTCTAAATTAAACTTTCTCAAGGTAAACAAACTTGAACAATTCATTTTGATAGTTTTCAATTAATGCTGTAATTTCAGTTGAGCTATTTACCCTTTTTCCACAGATTTGAGATCAACGTGCACATATTTCTTTATAAATTTTCAGTTGAGCTATTTCCAAAATTAACCAATTCAACTCTGCTAGACTTGAGAGAAAGTTTGTTTTCTGAACAATTTTAATTGATTAAACCTTGAGAATTCATCACTACGATCTAGTAAGGATCTCTTATAAAACTTGATTGTACAATATATTTAAATTTTGCTAGTCAAATAAGAAAATTAACATGCATGCCTTCAACATGGTAGCCAAGGAAAATAACTCAAAATTATTTAAGAGGAAAACTATCTGTTGTTTTTGAAGGATTGAAGATATGACGAAAGAAAGTATGTATACAATGAACCAATCAAAGCAAGGACATTTCTTCCTTCATGCTTTTGCTAAGTTTATATATATATATATATATAAATCAGAAAAGACTTCAAAAATATGCCTTTTCTATTTGATAAAACCATCACCATTAAAGTATAAAGAGAAGCAATATAATCTGGTTCAAACTCAGACTGAAGTAAAAGTCACGTGTTCACTATAGGTTAAAGTGTTTTGATGAAACAGATATTACCCTGATTTAATATTTATTGATACAAGAAACAGAAAACAATAAATCTGTTTATACACAGCTACATGGTACAACAGAATAGAAGGGTAGAAAAACAGAAGAGAAAACAAATAAAGGAATAAACATCATTCTGTCTATAATCTTTTACAATTCTTTTTTTTTTCACTTCATAAGTTTTTTTGTTTTTTTTTTTTTCTTATTGAAACCATTTGCTAGTGAACATATAATGTTACTTATCTCCTTAAACTAACTTGCAGATATTGTTACAGTTATAATCAAATAATTATCCTGTTTGAACCCCTGAAAATTTTAAGCCAATAAAGCAACATCTCCACATTGCAATTAATGATGTGTGACGTTTCATGCAAAACAATTGTTCCTTCAAGTCAGACTAGAAGAAAACATTGCATGCACAATTGAGATAAAACTCGTTGAAATGCCCTTTTGTACATCAATTGGTGACGATTAAAAAAATTGAATTATCATTTATCATAAACTTTAAAACCAGAATTATGTTTTTTTAAAGGTAAATGGTGCCAAGTTCATATTGGTGGGAAATACGATTATATACCAAAATCAACATTTTCAATTCATTGTGACCTTAAATTGTTAATGTCACACTAAATCAAATAAAAGGGAAATACAACAATTGAAAAACAGTGAAAATCACATAACTATTACCTAAAATACGTAAAAAATGTATTTGAGATAAAGTAAAACCTTAAACCCTGATTATGAAATATCTTAAAACCATAAACCCTGATCATGAAATACCTTAACTTTAAACCTTGGAAGTCTTTTCAGTGATCTTTCTGGTAATATTGTAATGCTCATCTTAAAGAGTTAGTACAGTGTTAGTAAATAAACACAGAAAAAAGAAGAAAATTATACTAACAACATTGAATTGTCCCGTTTCTACATCACCAATCATCATTGACTGAAAAAACAAGAAGAATTATCTCCCTTGAAGGAAAAAGTAATTTCAAAATTTTTTGTTATGCTAACTGCCATTACTTTTTTCAGAGCTAAAATTTAGTAATAGAACATGTTTTTTAATTTAGCTTTATATTTAATGATTTTTTTTACTGCTCAAATTCTGTATCATATTTTAAGTTATCTCCCCTTCATATAAAAAAAAATGAAATTCAGATTTAAATATAATTAATTTACATTTCATCATTCAATATTAAAATGTAATTTATCAGACTTCTAACAAGAGAAGATATCAAACCATACAGATGCATTTTGTATGGCACAAGAAAATTTTAAAAAGGGAGATAAATCTTCACAATCAAACTTATAAGGAGTAAGATTAAAAGATTTCTGATTAATCTAATTGAAACCGGCAGTAGCAGAGAAGCATTAAACCACTTTAAGCTTAAGTTACCTCCTGTACAAATATATACATCATTCAAATGATTATTTCAAGTCCAGTTTAATGAGGACATATTTTTTGGAGAAATTAGGCACCATAATTAGTGAAACCTTCAATCTAATAAGATGTAAAAATTGACAAAAAAAATCCAGCTTTCCTTGATAAAATGCAAAAACATTTAAAAATCTACTTTGATGAAATATAAAATTCTCCAACTCAGAAAGGGAAGATTAACTTTTTTTACACTGTAACGATATTTTTTTTAAACAACGCCTTTATCTAAAATTAAGACAACCAACTTTTACTAGAGTGATTGCAGAAATGAAATTTCATCTAAATGATGTCCATCCTAATAAAAATAATCCTTAAATCAGGAGTTATCTCTTCCTTACCCGAGCATTATGTAAATCCACACCATACATCTCTAATCGTTTGGCTTTATCTAAGTAATTATATTCAGCATCGGCAGGATTTTGACCTCTAAAAAATATCCAAAAAAAACCAATGACACAGCCAGCAAATAATACAGACATGAATTGGACATGTTGGAATCTGAATTGAATATATTCTATTAGTTGTATTTCAGTAGTAAACAATGGATAGATTAAGTATAAGATAAAACTAACAGATTTACAGCCCAATACTTCGGGTCAAGTCAATAATTCTTTTTTCTGTTATAAAAGTTTTCTCCTGTCCACCAAAAACAACAATTACTGTCTTTTGATGAGGTAAATATGTGGTTTTATTGACTTTTGAAAAACTGATATTCACTGAGGCCGTTCAAAATTCAATTAAACCACATATTTACAGAAACAAAGGATAGTAATTGTTTTATTCCATATTCCTAGATACAAAGTATTGAATGACAATTATTTTCCTAAACCAATTGTACATCAAACATTTGACCATAAAGTTACATGTAAAAGCATGTGACGTTTCGGGCAGTGAATATCCTTTTTCTTCAGGTACATCAAACATTTGATCATAACATTACATGTGAAAGCATGTGACCTTTAGCCCAGTGAATATACTTCCACAAGTGAATATGCTGTTTTATTCAAAATCCATAATCATATGGAAAATCCTACTTAAGGCGAAGTGTACGTAATTGCACGCCTCTAGCGGAATTTAGGATAAAAAACGTGCGTCGTTAGTTACGCGGGTTATCTCACCTACTCCAAGAAAGGAAAAATGGGCACATGAAAGAATAATAAACTGCTTCGCTGAGCGCAGCTAGATACGCCCACAGAGGTCCAACCCTGAACAGTTGGGGCAAAAATGGACACAATATTCAAGCTTGATTCAGGTCTGAATTTGGATTGTAATTAAATATTTGACATATTATAGGTTTCTGAATAAATGTAGTCAAAGAACTTGAAATTGGTTTATATATGAATTGAATTTATATTCAATTAAAGATTTCTTGCTGTTGTGCAATAGTCCCCAATACTTAGTAAATCTGTTGTCAGACTATAAACAAATAAAGTTCAATTAATTCTCAATGTCATATTAGAAATTTATGGAAATAAAAAGGGAGCTTACATCAATAGATATAAACAATTCACCAAAGTTTCATGAGAATTGGTGACAGCATTTTTGAGTTATTGTCCGAAAACTGGAAAATCACCCCTTTTTTTAATGAATAAAACCCAATAACTCAGAAATGTAAAATGTAAAATTTATAAAATTCTAAAGGGAGCTTACATCAATACATACAAACAATTCACCAAAGTTTCATACGAATTGCTGAAAGAATTTTGGAGTTTTTGTCCGAAAACTGGAAAATCCCCCTTTTTTTTATGAATAAACCTTGTAACTCAGAAACGTTAAATTTAAAATTTATAAAAATGGAAAGGGAGCTCATGTCAATAGATATAAACAATTCACCACAATTTCTTGCAAGTTGGTGAAAGCATTCTTGACTTATTGTCCGAAAACTGGAAAATCCCCCTTTTTTTAATGAATAAAACCCCATAACTCGGAAACGTAAAATCTAAATTTTATAACAAACGAAAGGGAGCTCACGTCAATAGATATAAACAATTCACCAAAGTTTTATGCAAATTGGTAAAAGCATTTTTGAGTTAATGTCCGACATGTTGACGACGGACAGACGGACGGACAGACGGACGGACGGACGGACGGACAGACGGACAACGGTATACCATAATACGTCCCGTAAACGGGCGTATAAAAATGACTTCGTGCGGTCTATCATGAATCCAAACAAGTATTCATGTGCTATCTCAAAACTTCAAAGAAATTATTAGAATGACTCCATTCAGAAATCTGAGTATCCTATTGTGAGTTAGTCTAACTTTATTACCACTGTTTTTGTTTTAGACACGCAGGAGCAGGTACACAATACGACTCGTGTTTTTTTCAACAGAAGGTAAACACGCATAAACAACAAAATTATAACCAAATACACAAATAAACCAGTGACAATTCTGCTTCTATTCGTATCAAATTCATTAAAATCAAACCAGAATTGACCCCACAATATTTTTTGAAAAACCATAGTTTTGAATGAAATTCACAGTGTAGCGTAAAATTGTAGGTAACGAATAATTATATTGCATGTGAATTTGTGTGTTGAACAAGAAAGACGTTGGCATGTCCGTTTTTATGCAATTGAAAATTTCATGATGTTTTATATTTTATTATTTATGTAAAAAGTATAAAAGATACTAAGGGGTAATCGACAACTAGTACAACATAATGAACATTTATAAGCCGAAGGCGAAGAAAAAGCCAACAGCAAAAAAAAAAAAACCATCAGATTCCGTCCACAAAACATTACACACTCAGAAACTAAGAATTGAGCACTATTACATTTATCTCAGAATAAGTAAAATATATGTCATCCAAATCTCAGTTTTCAAGGTGAAGAAAATAAATAGGTGTCTTCTATTCCGTCCGCAATTTTTGGGGAAAGTAAAATCTAAATTTAGAACCATGGTTGAAACTGAAACTACACATGTATGATAAAAATAGAACGTGTTATTTTTTTTTTATCATTCCAATTTCGAAGGGATAGCGAAATATATTTTCTTTTGTTGTGCTTTTGTGTATCATTCAGCAGTAGTATAAGGTAGGGGAAGAAGGGGTAGGGGTGAAGAAAATAAGGTCTACAATGTCGGGGCTTTTCAAGTTATAACCGACTATACGATATGGATTTTTCTCATTGTTGAAGGCCGTATGGTTGCCTATAATAATTGCTTACATCCACATCATTTAAGGTAGCTGTCTAAATGTTGGACGATAAATTTTTCTTAAACTTCTGTAAAAGACTTCTGGGTCAATGTAATTTCAAATTTCAATATAAAAACTGGGGATCACGGACCTTGTTTTTTCGTAATAACACATTGAAATTAACGAAATTTGGGTTATTTTATATTGTTAATATAGGGGAAACTTAAGTTTTCCTTATTGCGGAAACATTAAACGATAGAATTGGCTAAAATTCGATGAGAAAATTGCTTTTCATTAATAAATCCGAAATATCAAATAAAAATAGGGGGTCACGGGCCTTATTTTCTTGAAAAAATCCCCAAAAATTTTAAATATACTTTACGACACTTAATTTTTTGATAGTTCAATCTTTAAATTTCAAGTTTTAGGTATTTTGTTGTATATTAAATGATACTTGGTAAAATATTTTTAAAAGAAAAAAGTATTTTTGCAACATGATCAGAACGGACGCTCAGAAAAAGACACCCGATCTACCTTAAACTGTGGCAGATAGTTGTCTCATTTGCAATCATACCACATCTCCTTATTTTCATATTATATTAACAAAACTGCAATTCATTTGCATTATATACAGGGACAAGTTATATCAAAAACTCCGATCTGTTTTACTTTGCTAAAATTCATATGCGGGTTCTTCTTTTGACCTTATTACAGCCATAAAAATTCTCAAGATAATATGCAGATGCAGTTTTCTTATTTTTTGGGAGTCGTGCATGTGGATATTCAACAAATAATGGTACAAGAAATTATTTCCTTTTTTACTTAAAATCTCCAGCAAACATTATATTATGCTTTGTCGTGTAGTTAAAGAAGAGGGAAAGCGATCGAGACAGGAAATTTTTTAAATAAAATTGCAGAGTTGTGTCACGTGCACGTGTGTGAACCTGACAAATAAAATGGGTTTTGTGCGCAATACCTCGAATAGCGCCGGAAATGGTGAGGATGAAAAGATGCAGCAAATTATATACACTTTTTTAAAATACAAACATGCAGAAATAAGATTTTAAAAAAGACGTGTATTCGCGATCCCAATATTATAACCGATTATTAAAATACGTATAGAATCATTCTGTCAACGCTGTGTTAACCGGGACAATTTCAAACTTGATATTTGATTCATAATTATTAGAACAATACAATATAAAAATAAGAAGATGTGGTATGATTGCCAATGAGACAACTCTCCACAAGAGTCCAAATGACACGGAAATTAACAACTATAGGTCACCGTACGGCCTTCAACAATGATCAAAGCCCATAGTCAGCTATAAATACAAGCATTTCAAAAAAATGTGGAACCCTGTCTAATTAAGAAAAGATGGAGTTAAAGTCTTTACAGTAACTTTCTTTCACTTGCAGTATATTTATTTGCCAATTTGCTTTTTTTTTTTGGCAGCAGAATCATCCTTAAAAAATACTCAGTTTATTTCCTTATCAATTGATTACGCTTGAGCATTTGCAATACTTAGGAAAATGGGTTATAAATAATTCGTAAATATAAATCAACATGTAGACATCATATACGTTCAGGTATTTCACATCCAATATTTTTTGGTAATATTCTTTACAAAGCACAAAAATGTCGGCATTCACCTCAAAAGCTAACCAAAACTTTAAACAGACTTATTCGGAAAGGATATAGTTACGATACTGTTGTCAGGTGATTAAGGGTTGCATATTTTGGTATTAATATTGATTCACTCATAGGGTCTTTGCATCGGAAATAAACACTATTATTCTAAAACCAGTTGTTGGCATGATACGGGTTATGTTCTTCTCATATATTTTATGATTGTATGATACTAAACCCCTAACGGGAGGGATTGTACTTGATTTTCATATGATGAAGACATAATCTTTCAATCAGTTTAATTGAGGTCTGGAGCTGGCATGTCAATAACTGCTAGTAGTCCTTTGTTAATTTATGTATCATTGTCTTTTTGTTTAGTTTCTTTTGTTACCTATTCTGACATCGGACTCGGGCTTCTTTTAAACTGAGTTTTACTATGCGTATTGCTATGTGTTTCTTTATTCTACATTGGCTAGAGGTATAGGGGGAGGGTTGAGATCTCACAAAACATGTTTAACCCCGCCGCATTTTTGCGCCTGTCCGGCAAGTCAGGAGCCTCTGGCCTTTGTTAGTCTTGTATATTTTTTTAATTTTAGTTCATTTATATGTTTTGGAGTTTAGTGTGACGTCCATTTTCACTGAACTAGTACACAATTTTATTTAGGGGCCAGCTGAGGACCACCTCCGGGTGCGGGATTTTTTCACTACGTTGAAGACCCATTGGTGGCCTTCGGCTATTGTCTGCTCTTTGGTCGGGTTGTTGTCTGCTCTTTGGTCGGGTTGTTGTCTGCTCTTCAGTCGGGTTGTTGTCTCTTTGACATATTCCCCATTTCCATTCTCAATTTTATACACACTCACGATTTTGTTTCGACACTGTACGGTATAATAGCGTTATAGAGTTATATCTAGTAGAAATTGTGATGACGTTACAGTAGACATCAATAACGTCGCCGAATGTTTTTTATTCTTTCCGCTAAAAATCAAACTTCCACAGGATATAGCTTGAAAACTAGCACGGTTGCTAAGGACTTTCTTTGCACCAATGGGTTCGTCGTTCATTTTTGAATCGCATATCGATTTTTTTTTAAATTCTGTGGACCAACGAATTAGAAAATCTTGATAAAGTAAAAATATCTGCCGATTTTTATGATTTTCCCTATATATCCTTTGTATTTTTGGCGTATCATGCTGTTAATTTCAACAGCTTGTATCTGAAAAACGAAAACGGTTACCCCTTTTTTTTATTTTATTGTCTGATGTATTTTTAAAAGCAGAATCCACATGTGAAATTAAAAAAAATTCTGTGGAGTAGTTAATTACGTACACTTCGCCTTAAATAATACCAATATGGAGTTGTATATTAAAAGGTTATCCCAAGTGTCCCAAGTCAGGACCCTCTGGCCTTTGTTAGTCTTGTATGTTTTTTAATTTTAGTTCATTTATATGTTTTGGAGTTTAGTGTGACGTCCATTTTCACTGAACCAATACACAATTTTATTTAGGGGCCACCTTAGGACCACCTCCGGGTGCTGGATTTTCTCGCTGCGTTGAAGACCCATTGGTGGCCTTCGGCTGTTGTCTGCTCTTTGGTAGGGTTTTTGTCTCTTTGACATATTCCCCATTTCCATTCTCAATTTTATCACATGATGTTTGTAAAGTATGATGTATGTCGTTCAATATAAATGTTTTTCTTTTTTCCTGTATCTTTATAGTAATGTTCTCTAGACACTGTGATCACATGATGTACGTAAAGAATGATGTATGTCGTTCAATATAAACACTGTGATCACATGATGTACGTAAAGTATGATGTATGTCGTTCAATATAAATGTTTTTCTTTTTTCCTGTATCTTTATAGTAATGTTCTCTAGACACTGTGAGAGAACTGATGCTACACTCAACTGCATTCTACATAAAAGTTCTCCTATAATGTGATAAATAAGGAGGTGTGGTATGATTGCCCATGAGACAACTATCCACCAGGTCACCGTGCTGCCTTCAACAATCAGTAGCATGTACATTTGGTTTGAATGTCAGATTTAGTTTGTACAGTTTCCATGACTACTGGTAAAATAACTACTTTAAATGAGCCTATGCTGTATTTAAAGTTACCTGTGTTGCTTATGTAGATCTGAAACTTGTTTTTCAAATTCTGGTGTTTGATTAGGTATAAATCTGTAATCAGCTAAGTAATTGTCCCGATGTTCATCTGGGTTAAAATCACCGAGCTCAGCTAAAATTACAAACAGACATTAAAAGTCATATATTTGACACCAGCTTAAAATATCAACCTCCAAAACAGGAGAAGCTTGACCAACTTTTTACATTTAAAAAGAAAAATATTTATGGAAATAATATAGGGTCATCCTGATGCCAATAAAATGGAATGTCTGTTTTATATTTGTAAAGTTTTATTTTACAATGCTGTTCTCTTGTATGTGTGAATAGAATTATTGTTTTAAACAATACATTTATCTATCTGATTGGTCTTTTGCCTCATATTTAATAGTTTTTTATTGACAAAATTTGTTCTTGGTGAGACATATTGTGACTATGATGCCACTTTAGACTGCCATCAATAAATAAATCAATCATGGGATACAGATACCCTTCATCACCATAGAAGATTCTACCAATGTTACTTATAAAATATAACATATCATTCTTTTAAGTATCCCATTTAAACATATAATATACATAAGGACACTATAACATGCATGTACTATGAATCCCCCACAAATCATTAAATATCTTTTATCTGTTGTCTTGTGGTGTTGGGTTACTATCACTGAAAATACCCTACATGTACATTAATTCATTTCATGAGTTTGCCTATTTTATGTGCAGTCCATTCGGATCTGTTCAGTCACATTCAGTCAGTATTTATTGTTCACACACAAAACAAGGCGATTCCAACTGTTTATGACGTCTTTACACTAAATCCATTGGATGTTGGATGTTTACTGATTGATATTTTAGTCTTAGATGCATGATTTTTTTTATTAGTTGCTATTGGCTTTGAACTAGCTGTCAGTAACTGCGAGTACTCTCAGATCTGTACTTAGTGTCTTTTTGTTGTGGGGATATATAAATACCCATCCACGTCCACTCTGTTTTTTTGTTAGATGTATTGCTATTTGTATCCATCTGATGAGTTAAGCCTTTTTCAACTGATTTTCATAGTTTGTTCTTATGTTGTACTGTTACACCACTGTCCCAGGTTATGGGGAGGGTTGGCACCTTCAAACAAGTTTAACCCCGCCAAATTCTGTATGTGCCTGTCCCAAGTCAGGAGCCTGTTATTCAGTGGTTGTTGTTTGTTGCTGTGTAACATATTTGTTTTTCGTTCATTATTTTGTACATAAATTAGGTCGTTAGTTTTCTCGTTTGTCGTTTCGGGGCCTTTTATAGCTGACTATGTGGTATGGACTTTGCTCATTGTTGAAGGCCATACAGTGACCTATAGTTGTTAATTCCTTTGTCATTTGGTCTCTTGTGGAGAGTTGTCTCATTGGCAATCATACCACATCTTCTGTTTATATATTCCAAATAAAATGCTCCGCAGGGCGCAGCTTGATACGACCGCAGAGGTCGAACCCTGAACAGTTGGGGGAAGTATGGACACAACATTCAAGCTTGATACAGCTTTGGATTTGGATTGTGATTAAATATTTGACACAGCATAGGTTTCTAACACAGATTGAATGTGGTCTAAGAACTTAAAAATTTTAAATTGGACATTCACCTATTATGGTCCAATATCCAAAATCTAAATACATGGTTATATTCAGCATATCAAAGAACCCCAAGAATTCAATTTTTGATGAAATCAAACAAAGTTTAATTTTGGACCCTTTTGACCTCAATGTGGACAAAGTTGATAACGGGGCCCAAAAATCAAAAATCTAAATACATGGTTAGATTCAGCATATCAAAGAACCCCATATATTCAATTTTTGTTGAAATCAAACAAAATTTAATTTTGGACCCCGATTTGGACCAACTTGAAAACTGGGCCCATAATCAAAAATCTAAATACATGTTTAGATTCAGCATATCAAAGAACCCTAAGAATTCAATTTTTGTTAAAATCAAACTAAGTTTAATTTTGGACCCTTTGGACCTTAATGTAGACCAATTTGAAAACGGAACCAAAAATTAAGAATCTAAATACACGGTTAGATTCGGCATATCAAAGAACCCCAATAATTCAATTTTTGATGAAATCAAACAAAGTTTAATTTTGGACCCTTTTGACCTCAATGTGGACAAAGTTGATAACGGGGCCCAAAAATCAAAAATCTAAATACATGGTTAGATTCAGCATATCAAAGAACCCCATATATTCAATTTTTGTTGAAATCAAACAAAGTTTAATTTTGGACCCCGATTTGGACCAACTTGAAAACTGGGCCCATAATCAAAAATCTAAATACATGTTTAGATTCAGCATATCAAAGAACCCTAAGAATTCAATTTTTGTTAAAATCAAACTAAGTTTAATTTTGGACCCTTTGGACCTTAATGTAGACCAATTTGAAAACGGAACCAAAATTTAAGAATCTAAATACACAGTTAGATTCGGCATATCAAAGAACCCCAATAATTCAATTTTTGATGAAATCAAACAAAGTTTAATTTTGGACCCTTTGGACCTCAATGTGGACCAATTTAAAAACGGGGCCCAAAATCCAAAAACTAAATACACGGTTAGATTCAGCATATTAAAGAACCCCATGAAATCAAGAATAAAACCCCATTGAAATTGGTCAAGAAATAAGCAATTTATAGGAAGTATCTTCTTTTGCACAATCCTGTGCTATTAAATATTTCTTGCTATTGCGCAATACTGTACAATTGACAATTTCTTGCTATTGCGCAATATTGTGCTATTGGATATTTCTTGCTATTGCGCAATACTGTGCAATTGAAGATTTCTTGCTATTGCGCAATACTGTGCAATTGAAGATTTCTTGCTATTGTGCAATACTGTGCAATTGAAAATTTCTTGCTATTGCACAATACTTATTATATAATAATTTACACATCCTGTTTGGTGTGTATCTCCTACCATATCATTATTATTTGATTTTAAATATAAATCAGAAATAACCAACTTAAAATGGAAAATTTTAAAAGAAACAAAAAAGGAAAAAAAGAAAAAAAGGAAAAAAAAATAAATCCCCCCCCAAAATTTTTTGAACCCCCATTATGATTCATCACCCCCAAACTCAATCCCAGCCTTCCCTTTGTGGTATGGTACCTTGCAGTACAATTTCAGAGAGATCCATACACTTGAACACAAGTTATTGTCTGGAAACTAGAAAAAAATGTGTTTTTTGGCCCCTTTTTGGCCCCAAATTCCTAAATGTTTAGGGCAATTACCCCCAAACTCAAACCCAGCTTTCCCTTTGTGATATGGAACCTTGTAGTACAATTTCAGAAAGATCCATACACTTACACACAAGTTATTGTCATGAAACTAGAAAAATGCTTGTTTTTTGGCCCCTAATTCCTAAAATTTGGAGGCAATTACCCCCAAAATCAATCCCAGCATTCCTTTAGTGATATGGAACCTTGTGGTACAATGTCAGAGAGATCCATACACTAACACACAAGTTATGTCTGGAAGTTACAAAAATGCTTATTTTTGGCCCCTTTTTGGCCCCTAATTCCTTTACTGTTATTACCATAACCCCCAAAATCAATCCCAACCTTCCTTTTGTGGTATTGAACCTTGTGGTAAAATTTCATAAAGATCCATTCACTTAAACTAAAGTTAGAGTGCGAAAACCAAGTGTCTTCGGACGACGCCGGACGACGACGACGACGTCATACCAATATACGACCACAAAAATTTTTTTGCGGTCGTATAAAAACTACTCACACTGCACTGCATAACTGGCTAATAAAATAGCTGTATTCTGTGGACACATCAACCTCCCCTCCAAAATATCTCGTTTTACTTGCAAGAAAAAGTGATACCTAAAAAAAATAATTTTTGAATGCTGCAATCAATTATTTTATTCTAATTATGTTAGATTTTTTATATAGTTTTGATTAAGGAACTGTAGAACGTTTCTTTCCAAATGACATTCAATTCAAAATCAATATCTAGACACAATATATGCAATGTTTGACAGTATCTGTTTTAAGTGTATGAAATATACTGAACATCAAAGGAAACAACATTGCTCTAACATATATCACAGAAACATCTTGTTACATTTATTACAAAAACACCCTCTTCAAAAACTATCTTTCTCCACCTTTGTCTGATACAGTTGAAATAGTTATGAATAGATGGAAATTTCAATATATTTTATTTCCAAGAAATATTCACTTCAAATTAAAAAATAAATAAATAAAAGAATGTGAGCATGGGACACAGATGCCCCTACTTGTAAATATATGGCAAATTCAGCAATTTTCCCATCTATAAAGGGACATTACTTGATAACGGTGAAAGTGATGCCACCCAAATTCCAACTTGATCTGTGTTAGGAGGTAACAAGCATTGTGTATAAGTTTCATAACATATGGTTGAGGTAAAGTAAAGTAAGTGTGCTGAAACCAATTTTGGGACATACACACGGAATGGTGACGCTGTAGACTACCCCAGAAACATTACGCTGAGATTCTGTCAAGGCTAGACAAGAAGCCTATTATTAATGGCAATTTCAATTCAGGTCTCTAGTTTGACTAAAGTACTTTATTCCAGTATAATTTATCACTTACCTAGTGTATTCTTCAGCTAGTTTGCTGGGGTCTGACACATAAAACTTCACACGAAAGAAAAATTCAAAGGGAGGTCCTGAAAAAAAAAATCATTTAAACTTCATGAAACAGATTCTACTGACATCTTATACTGGTATGCTAGTTAATAAATAATAATAGTGTGAGTTTGGCTGTATTGAAGACACAAATTTTGCTTAGTTTAGATAAATAATATTAGTGTGAGTTTGGCTGTATTGATGGCACAAATATTGGTTAGTTTAAATAAATAATTATACTGTGAGTTTGGCTGTATTGAAGGCACAAATTTTGGTTAGTTTGAATAAATAATAATAGTGTGAGTTTGGCTGTATTGAAGGCACAAATTTTGGTTAGTTTAGATAAATAATAATAGTGTGAGTTTGGCTGTATTGATGGCACAAATTTTGGTTAGTTTAAATAAATAATAATAGTGTGAGTTTGGCTGTATTGATGACACAAATTTTGGTTAGTTTAAATAAATAATAGTGTGAGTTTGGCTGTATTGATGACACAAATTTTGGTAAGTTTAAATAAATAATAATAGTGTGAGTTTGGCTGTATTGATGACCCAAATTTTGGTTATTTTAAATAAATAATAATAGTGTGAGTTTGGCTGTATTGATGACACAAATTTTGGTTAGTTTAAATAAATAATAATAGTGTGAGTTTGGCTGTATTGATGACACAAATTTTGGTTAGTTTAAATAAATAATAATAGTGTGAGTTTGGCTGTATTGATGACACAAATTTTGGTTAGTTTAAATAAATAATAATAGTGTGAGTTTGGCTGTATTGATGACACAAGTTTTGGTTAGTTTAAATAAATAATAATAGTGTGAGTTTGAATGTATTGATGGCACAAATTTTGGTTAGTTCAAATAAATAAATAAAGTGTGAGTTTGGCTGTATTGATGGCACAAATTTTGGTTAGTTTAGATAAATAATAATAGTGTGAGTTTGGCTGTATTGATGGCACAAATTTTGGTTAGTTTAAATAAATAATATTAGTGTGAGTTTGGCTGTATTGATGACACAAATTTTGGTTAGTTTAGATAAATAATAATAGTGTGAATTTGGCTGTATTGATGGCACAAATTTTGGTTAGTTTAAATAAATAATAATAGTGTGAGTTTGAATGTATTGATGGCACAAATTTTGGTTAGTTCAAATAAATAATAATAGTGTGAGTTTGAATGTATTGATGGCACAAATTTTGGTTAGTTCAAATAAATAAATATAGTGTGAGTTTGGCTGTATTGATGGCACAAATTTTGAAAATATGGATTTGTTATGTCAATAAATCAGGAAAATTCATTTCAATTTCTACAACAGATTCATTAAAGGACTATCTTGTCTTTGTAATCAAATACTGTTGTCAACTGACAATTTCCTCTAAGAACTACCAGACATGGTTCATTATTGTAAAATATAGTTTTGCTCATTCTTATCATACAAAAGCTATAAGCGATCGATTATATTCAGATCTAATTTGTTTTAAATCAGTGTAAATAATATTTAAAATAGCACTGTCCAATAAGTTGCTCAAATCATGCTGTCAGGTGCAGGTGTTAAAGTTCATCCTAAAAGACATCAAAGCAACACTGTCGATGAAGAATAGCAATGTAAGCACCGTTACTTTAATACATCGGTTTTATCATGGGATAAAGGTCTGATGTGCTTTCATCCAATATCCTAACTTTCTGACCTGACACTAAACCAATAATATGTAAGGTTGTCTAATCTTACCTCTGCACTGTTTCTTTATAGTCTTCAGAGGATCAAGCCATCTCTAAAATTAAATAAAGAATTCACATAAAAACTCACTTTGATTATGATAATAATGCAAATTACGATTAATTCTTTGAGTCATCTGGAAAAAAATCATGCAACCTTAACAATGTCTGCAACATTAAAAATTTCAATAATAAAATATTCAGTCAATGAACCATGACAGAAGGTTTAGGGCCAAATAATCTCTGTGGAAAGGAGATATGCCAATGCTGAAACAACTGTAAACCAAATACCATTGAATTTCCTTTAAACTTATCTAAAAACAGACTTAACCATGTTAACTATGAAACAAGAGTGCACTGCTGAAATGTCTCGCCTTCTTTACTGACCATTGATTTTATGTTGATAGTCCTTAATATACAACTATCACATAAACTTAATTTGATCCAAGAAAATGAAGTCAAGGTCAGATAAACCAAACTGGAAATACATGCATGTACACCTTACAATCATTACATACACCAAAATGCTTTAAATATAGTTGACCTATTGCACATAGTATCTGAGAAACAAACATAACCAGGAAAACTTAACATTGACCGATGAACCATGAAAATGTGGTCAAGGTCAGATGAACCCTGCCAGACAGAAATGTACACCTTACAATCATTACATGCTTTAAATATAGTTGACCTATTACATATAGTATATAAGAAACAAACTTAACCAGGAAAACTTAAAGATAGACCAATGAACCATGAAAATGAGGTCAAGGTCAGATGATAATTGCCAGACAGACATATACACCTTACAATCATTCCATACACCAAATATAGTTGACCTATTGCTTATAGTATTAGAAAAACAGACAAAAAAAAAAAAAAAAATTTGTACTAGATCTTAGTTTTGTGGTAATGAATATTGTGTATAGGTTTCATAATGTTTGGTTGGGGCAAACTTAAGTTACAGAATGGAAACTAAAAATTTTGCAATCTTTTGATTTATAAAAGGGCATAACTCAATAATGATTAAAGTGACACTACCCAAATTCAACTTGATCTGTGTTTTATCAGTGGAAGTCAAAATTAAACATTGCATTGTATAAAGCATTGATTGAAGTTGATTCAACTATAATCATGGACAAAGGAAGATAACTCCAATTTTAATAAAATTACTTGCTATTTAGAAGAAAATAAAAATTTTGCAATTTTTCCATTTCTAAAGGGGCATAACTCTAGAATGGTTAAAGTGACACCACCAAAATTCAAACTTGATCTGTGTTTTGTGGTAATAAGCATTGTGTATAAGTTTCATAACATTTGATTGAGGCAAACTTTAGTTAGAGATTGGAAACGAAAAATTCAGCATTTTTTCCATTTGTAAAGGGGCATAACTCTAGAACGGTAAAAGTGACGCCACCAAAATTCAAACTTGATCTGTGTTTTGTGGTAATAAGCATTGTGTATAAGTTTCATAACATTTGGTTGAGGCAAACTAAAGTTAGAGAACGGAAACGATAAATTCAGCAATTTTCCATTTGTAAAGGGGCATAACTCTAGAACAGTAAAAGTGACGCCACCAAAATTCAAACTTGATCTGTGTTTTGTGGTAATAAGCATTGTGTATAAGTTTCATAACATTTGGTTGAGGCAAACTAAAGTTAGAGAACGGAAACCAATTTTGGGACGTACGTACGTACGTACAGACGGACAAGGGTAAAACTTAATGCCCCCTCCGCTACGGCGGGGGCATAAAAACAAAAACTTAACATTGAGCAATGAACCGTAAAAATGAGGTCAAGGTCAAATAAAACATGCCAGACTGACATGTACATAGTAAAATATTTTCATACACCAAATATAGTTGACCTAATGCATACAGTATTAGAAAAACAGACCAAAACACAAAAACTTAACTTTAACCACTGAACCATGAAAATGAGGTCAAGGTCAAATGACACCTGCCAGTTGGACATGTAGATCTTACAATCATTCCATACACCAAATACAGTAGACCTATTGCTTATAGTATCTGAGATTTGACCACGCAAACTTAACCTTGTTCACTGATTCATGAAATGAGGTCGAGGTCAAGTGAAAACTGTCGGTCAGGGCTGGACCTTGCAAGGTACGCACATACCAAATATAGTTATCCTATTACTCAAAATCAGAGAGAAATTAAGAATACTAAAAATCTTAACTTTTTTTTCAAGTAGTCACTGAACCATGAAAACGAGGTCAAGGACAATGGACATATGACAGACGGAAATTTCATAACATAAGGCATCTATATACAAAGTTTGAAGGATCCAGGTCTTCTACCTTCTGAAATATTATGCTTTTAAAAAGTTTGTTAAAGCTGCCACGGCCACCGCCACTGGATCACTATCCCTATGTCGAACTTTCTGCGACAGAAGTCGCAGGCCCAACAAAAACTCCAAAGTCGAAGACACCTCCACCTCTGTCAGGAACATCAAGCCTTATCAAGACAAAACAAAATATAAGCACCCACAACATGTCCTCAGAAAAATCTCATGTTAATGACTTAAAGAGTATTATTACTCGCAAGATTTTTAGTGAAAAAACGCAGCACTTTAAACATATAAATAATAGAATTCATGGATCATAAAAAATATTTCTAATTGAAATCGTTGATATTACATGACAGACATGTAGAGGGGCAGAAGGACCTCTTTCAGGACATCAGGATTGGGCTTTAATTTTTGCAGGAATTCAGGATTTACGCAACATTGGGACTGCAGAATTAATGATTAATTTTTCAAGATCCAGGAAAGAATGCTACATTTTTCTGGGAATTCAGGATGACAGTACCCCTATTACCACCACCACCACCACCACCACCACCACCACCCCCCTATACAAAAGTATATGACTATGTTCTTGAATTATAACATTGAGTCTGAAGTAGGATGTATATATCACTGTGTGTATTTCTCAATAATAGTTTCAGTAAATAAATTCCAATGTTGATTATGATTTGGCCTAATTTGTTTCATTTATAGTGATTAAAATGATGTGATTTTTGCTCCAACCTGTTGATCTTAAAAAGAGTTTTATTTATATTTGTCAGACTGGAGGGAATTCTATTTCCTGTATCTGCTATTATTGCCTGAATTGAGGTCTTTGTCATTGCTGACTGATTTTTTATTTAAATTGCATTGTGCAAGTTGACAAATGATTTTGTGCAACTGACTCTACAATTTGCTGGATTTTTAATTTCTGTTAGTGTTGAATTGATTTTGTCTGAACTGTACTACTAAGAGAAGATATGATCAGGAATTCTGTGATTGTGATATCTTTTACTGGATGGACACTTCTTTTTATCTGTTTTGTGTTCTATATGCACTATATATGACCAGGTAAACTGGTAATTTTCTAGTAACCTCCAATTCCTTCCTTGTTAAATAAATATAAAAGCAAAATCTGCAACCAAACAAAACAAAACAAATAAACATGTATTTTTCATCAATAATGCTTAACCCATGACATATATATACTTCAATAATAGGAAGTACTTCAAATTATGACAATTTGATCAGGAAACTGACAATTTCATAAAAGGTCAAATAATTACGTAATTATATCCTAGTTTATTGGACTACATAATATGTTCAAAGTCCACCAATTTAAATAAGCAAATTATTTTTTTGGGTATAAACTCTTGTCTTGCTACTGATATAAACTTGTATATAAATATTATAGGGGGTAACTCATCGTTTTCAAAATATATTGGTTTTGTTACATTTAATGGATTTTTTTTTGTTTTTTTGCTCTTGCTCATGCTGAAATTAAAACCTGTTTCAAATGTCACTTTGCAAACATTCAAAATTTAAATGAAGCCAGTTACAACAAAAAAAATCATTTCTCTGCTCTGCTCCCCCTTTTCTGATCGAATAATTATCTAGGACTACTGATCCATGACACAGAAATCTTCAAGATAGTTTGTAACAATAACACCAGATGTTGAGACAGCAACCCAACAACATTAGTTTTTCAAAACAGACATCTTGACTTTACTATCTTAAATATTGTCTTCACTTATGGACAAGCACCAACACACTATTGTGTATCTTTTTATTTACTTTACAGTTTTCCCTTCAAGACAAGCAAGAGGTTTCCATAGTGTTGCTTTCATTTTGTTTACCCTTGTCTTTATATTTTACTTAATTTTTACTTTATCAAGGAATGTGTATATTATACACTATATGCATGTAACTACAAAAACTTTTTTGTTGACATTCTTTGTCAGATTTATTTGTATGTATGTTTGTTTGAATTTTTTAGTCAGTTGTGTTGTATGTATGTGATGTATGTTTACACAGTTTTGGCTGCTGGATCACAATTATTGTCACATTAATCTATCATGTCTGTTTGGGTTCTCACCCAATTTTGTCTATATAACAAAGCTATAAAGCTAAAAATAAAATGCTCCGCTGGGGCGCAGCTTGATACCACCGCAGAGGTCGAACCCTGAACAGTTGGGGCAAGTATGGACACAACATTCAAGCTTGATACAGCACTGAATTTGGATTGTAATTAAATATTTGACACAGCATAGGTTTCTGACACAGAATGAAAGTGGTCTAAGAACTTAAAAATTTTCAATTTACCTATTCATACATGTGATGGACTGTGAAACTCAGATCAGGAGATTGGGAAATTTTGGTCAGGAGATTAGGACTCAGATCAGGAGGTTTTTAATCGACTGTAAATGTAACCGTGTGCTGTAAAAATGGTCTTTTAAAGTGTGTTTTCTTCAACTTTCCATCCAATTTATTATGTTTATAGTACCCTTGTACTTATAAAGTTTCTCCATCTTTATATTCTACATGTTCAATCTAACATTGTTTTTTTCCAGTATGTTCTTTAAATTTTTTACTTCATATTCTATAAAACAATCATTGCAACTAGAACATTTTTTTAGCTGTCTGCAAATAGTTTTTATTTATCTTTTTTTTCTCTTGCAAATAGTTTTTATTTGCAAACTCAGAAATTCATTCTATCTGTAAAGTTAGGGTCATAGTTAATATATAAATTT